TGGTGGTGGTGGTGGTAGTAGTAGTGGTAGTGGTTGGGGTATAGCTTGTTCACTTTTGTCTGTCCACGTAAAACAAATTTTAGCTCATTTGGTGGGTTGTTGTTTTTTTACCTGCGCCCTCGAAACTTTGCATGACACTTCTGCAGGCCAGGGACCAAACAAAATTATTTTTTCTCCCCAAAAATCTTGATCCAGTAATAACAAAGTTTCTCTATTTCGGCTGTATATCATTAAAAACCACTTTTTGGGTGCGTACACAGGATTGCTGAAATACAGTAACCTAGCCTCAAATTGCTCATTTCGAGAAAGTGACACCACCCTTCCCCCTACATTTAAATGTGAGCGTGAAGATTTCATCCCACGGTTGTTCTGACGTCTCCACTTGATCCTTGAAAGGTACCCACCTGTACATTGGGCGGTGTTTCTCTGGTGTGCGTTTAAGTGTGGTGTTGAGGGAAATGTGTCAACTTTTTAATGGTTTAGGTGTGGGCTGTAAATCCCCTGTTCTTTTTTTTTATCCACTTTAGGCTAACATTAAAAGAAATTGTGTCGCAATGACTTTTGTGAATGGGCTTTTAGATTCTGTTGGTCATCCAACTTTCAGACTCGTATGTAAAAGTAGGAGAAGATAAAACAGAGCGATTTCATTTTACTTCGTTTTAACCACGGTCAGACGAAAGTGAGCAAGATATTAGTGATAGTGGTAGTGGTAGTGGTAGTGGTAGTGGTAGTGGTAGTGGTAGTGGTAGTGGTAGTGGTTGTGGTAGTGGTAGTGGTAGTGGTAGTGGTAAAAAAATTGTGGTACAGACAGGTTCCCCTGTCCTTGTATTATTATCAGGAAAAAGATAGAGAGAGAGAGGAGAGAGGTATTTTCCATTGGTACGGTGCCCTTCTGTTAGCCCCAACCTCAAAATAGGTGAGACGGTCGGGGAGGGGAGGGTGGTGTCTTCTTTTCTCCAGATATAATACGGTGCGTCTTCTTTCCAGCTCTATCACTTTCATGTTGGTCTGTTGATCGGGGTTCCTGTCGTGCAAAAACTGATCCCCCTATACTGGTTCTTCTTCAGAACTACATTTATTTGCCTCAGGTTTAAACCATCTTTTTAAAACTATTGAAATATGTATTACACCCCGTTGTTTTTGGAAAGGTGCTAAATTATCTTGAAATAATAGGGATGGTCACACCACTTTATTAACCTCCTCATCACACTGATAGTGATAGAGTGTAAAGCCTTATCTCAGGTCATCCTGAGCCTCTGTCCCCTCTTTTCCTCTCACCGCTGGCAGGTTGTGGTGCCTCTCCGTGACGGCGTGGTGATGCTGCGGAGAAAGGCGGACGTTGATGGCCAAGTACCACAATGATCCAGAAACAAAACGTCGCCTCAGAACTAGATGTATTTTGTCCAGTTTTGAAAAATCAAGTTTGAAAAATTTCACCACAGTGTCTTTTGCTGCCGTTTTGATATTTTAAAAAAGTTCTTTTAACACCCAGAGATGACAACTTTTTATTTCCCGAATTCAACAGATGGTGGGTCGTTTGTAGCCGTGTACCTCTTTTTTAAATGTTATTTTGTGGAGCCTGGACAATTTTTTAAAAATAATTAATTTACCCAGAATAAAGTGGGTTTTAGTCGTGTGGATTTTGAACCCAGAGCTTTGTAAAAGAGTTATTCTCTCAAAAATAACTTGTGCACGAGCACAAAGGACAGAGCATCAAGCTAGAGAAACTGAAAGGACAGATCGAACACACAGGTCAGAACTGGTCTATTGCGGGGCTCTCCGTCAGACGTAGAGGAGTTTGGGATGCTCGGCTATGGTTATTGTTTGTCTTAGTGATGGTTTCTTATCATGTAACTAGATTCTAGAGGAAATACATGCAAACAAATCAACTTTTTTGGTAAGTTTTTATGGCGCTCGCAAACTGCATAAGGTCATCATTGTGAGCTTGCAGGACATTAAAAATTTCATTTTGTTGGGATTTAATTTTGAATTTTGCCCGGGTGGCTGCCGAAGCGTACTCTTATCAATTTTGGGTCTCCAACGGATTTTTAACGTGCGCGTCTTGCACACGGGACCTCAATGATGTTTCGCTCTTATCCGGAGGGCTAGGTGTAGATCCTATCTACCGTAAGATCAGGGGTGTGGAGGAAATAAACCAGTAAGAGGGAGCCAAGGAGTAGTAACAGAAATGCTGCAGAAATAATCAGGAGCCCAGAGGAAGGGGAAAGGGGAAGGTGGGGAGAAAGTAGAGACGAAAGGAGATGACAGAACATAATTAGAGAGCAGGAAAAGAGGTAAGGTGAAAGGACATTTTGGAGAAGAAAATTTTCCGTCGCTGTCAGGTTTCGAACTCGGGACCTGTTGAATAAGAGGCGAACACTGTAACCTCTAGACAATGAGAACCCGCACAGCTCTGCTGCAGAATACTATTAGTTTCCCAATGTTAGCCGAATAACTTGTAGAATGTGCAAGTTTTCACACATTTTTCTACTGTTCTCAATGTAAAGCGGTACTCGAGTTGAGTTTTATGATCTCTTGTAACCAGAGATAATGGAGTTCACTTTTTGTTGTTTTATACCATCGTGTATTTGATATTTGTTATGCACACACATTTTTTTCCATTGTAATCCTCATTAAAATTTGTATTAATTAAAACGTTTTGGGTTTTGAATGAGTTCTTTGTAAAAATATCTTTGTTTGATGTTTGAACCACTGTTTTGCTGCTTCCTTCCAAAGTACTTTTTGAGTACACTTGCTCCACTTCAAGCCCTCTTTTGACAGATTAAAAGTTAGACGCTAGTTTGGAGGTGCGGCCAATTATTGAAACTTGTAGCGTTAATTCGGGCATGAAACTCAAAACATACCATATCTGTTGGCAAGATGAAGAAACAAGACCAAAGTACCTTTCCAATGGACGGTAATTATACCCACAAGAGCTGGTAATCTGAACAACGTGGTGTGATAACTTGTCGACACGATATTTGATAATGGCAAAATTTCCCCTGGAACAGATTTGAACCTTGGACCTAGATGTTGTCCATTCACTGCAGGATGTAACCTTCCAACAACGACCTCCACTCTTTTTAATTGTCTGCTCTTTGTATCTAGAAACAGATTATTACAATAATATTAATAATGCCATCGAAAGAAATAACTCAATTCAGAAAAAGTTCGCTATTTCAATGTTAGGAAATTCATTGAGTGGTGGAAAAAAAAAAGATGTAAATTTGCTCGCTCCTACCATGTCCTACCCCATTTCGCCCCAGATCTATCAGGCGGACTTAAGCATGTAAATGAAACGCCTTACAAAAGCCTGTGAAACTCCCCCCCCCCCCCCCACACACACACACACTCCCCCTTCCCCCTTTTTTTGGACTAATTACTACAAAGTTTCTTTTGGGCCAGTAAAAAATGGGTCCCTTTAGGACCAACGATGTTCGCCGACTTCTAAAATTGTTTTAATTTCGGAATATTTTTTTTTTTTTTTTGGTGAGGGGGTTGTGATGCCTGTTGAAATGGATAGATCTAGATCTACATACAATTTGAGATTCTGGAGATCTGCTTTTTTTAAAAAATAGCTTAGTTTTTTAACGTCTTGATTATTTTAATTCCTTGGTTATCGGGAACATTGCTGGAGAAGGTGAAAAGACTTCGAACTGTACAAAACAATGCTGCACGTTTAGTTTTACAGAAAAGAAAGCGAGACTCTGTTACATCTCTTTTACGGACACTGCACTGGCTTCCTGTTGAGAAAAGATGTAGCTGGCCACTCAGTGTCACAAATGCTGGAACGATAATTATTAATGTGCCATCATATTTATCAAATGTGTTGAAACTGTGCATTTAAGTCGCAGTTTAATCTATAGGTCATCGGCTAACAAAAAGAAATTTCTTTTACTATCATAAAACTTAAAACAACGGGTGACAGAGCATTTGAAAATCAAGTCCTCGAGATCTAGAATGCTTTGCCCAGTAGTTTAAGAGAATTCCAATCCTTTAATTTATTTAAATGTCACCTAAAGTCTTTTGCGTTTTAAAATTAATTAGATAAATATTTAAAGAGCGACTTTATTGTGGTCAGAACACAATGTAATCTACTGATTATATTATGTTGCTGTTGTATTGGAAAACGCCTAGAGCCTGTATACCTTAATCGGGATTGAGCGCATTATAAATGTCATTTTATTATTATTATTGTTAGTATTATTATTATTATTATTATTATTATTGTTATTATTGTTATTATTATTATTATTATTATTATTATTATTATTATTATTATTATTATCATAATATAGTAATTATTATCATAATTATATATTATTACCCTCCCCCTCCCCCCCGCAACCATATGCAACAGACCAGGCCTGCTAAATCTTGTGAGCAAAAAGGTTACATAATGTTCTGGTTTCGCTGAGTCATGGTCAAATAGCCTGCTTTTGCAGCGAACAACTGCTTTGTTACAATGTAGTATCGCTCAGATAATAATTGTATCTTTAGGCGTTACGAAACTGCAGGGGTAGCGGCGCGTACCCCACTAAACCCAATAGGCAACATGTACTGATGCAAAACGTGGAACTGCGGGATACACGCACTTGGTCCTTCTTCCAGTGCTGTTATCACAAAAAGAACGTTCTATTTTCTGACTTGGACCCTGATTTTTGTCCTGCCTGGGCTTGTAACTAAGATCAGATTAACTAGTTCTAAAAGCAGTGACGTTAAACCTATATAACGAATAATTCTTTGGCCTATAAACCTAATAACCTAATAATTAATAAGCTCCGTCCATGGAGGGTACAAAAAGAATTATAAGTGCCGTTCTTGGCCAGCTCGGGTATATTACTGTCTCCCTTTTCAGCGGCCGCTCTTTATGCTAGCCGTGACGACAAAAATCCCACAGGGACTCCGAAGTTAGTCCATAGTATACGTGGCATTGTGCAAGTCGTCTGGCTTTTTCCCCACTTTCATTTCTTCAGACTGCAGGTGGGTTTCTTTTTATTTAATTAACTACATCTGTTTCTAAAGATTAAAAATAAGACAAGTTTGTAGTTTACTCTTGTGGTCCTGTCATACATAATATTAATTTATGATGTGTTCAAATGTTTGTTTACATCTGACAGTTTAGTAAGGTTTTACGGCGCTCGCAACTGCATAAGGTCATATGAGCGCCAAAAGGTGGATGTCAACAGAGAAGTCCAAACGGGGAGCCAGTCTGACTTTGCTCATCTCTCTAGCCTCAACAGCACAAAGTCTGCTTCGACTACCAATAAGGCACCCCGGAAAGAGCAGTTCGCAAGAGGCTGACAAACATAACAGAAGTAGAGGAAAAATAACGACAGTAAGGATGAGAAAAGAAAAAGCAGCAATTCGCCAATTCCCCATGTGTTGTTCCGCCACAGTACGAGCATGACATTGATAAACCAGCCCATTTACAATTCTTCTTGCGTAAGAACAGAACATGCTAACATCCCCCCTTTGGGAGTGGCCTAAAGACAACTTCAGTCAGTAGCACTGTCCCGGGGGGGGGGGTTCCTTCTGACAGAAGATTTTTGTGACCGGTTCGACGGTAAAAAAGTTTGCCGCGAGGTTGGAAAAACCGAATCAAGTATCAAGTACAATTTTGCTCAGTATGAAGGCGTTTTTCATCTAGTTAACAACTGAATGATTTCTTGGTAATCATTGCGAACTTCCAACATGAGTAGCACACATATTATTTATGCAAAAAAACATGTTATTGTCCAGTTAAAACAATAAAATACTATGCGACATCTGTGCTTCAATCACGCTCTCAGTTCTGATGTGATGTTAGCTCTATATGAGATAACGTGTACTTTAAATTTTGAGATGAACTCGCTTCACAGTGTTCGTTCTCTTTTTTTTTCTTCTTCAGATACTTGCTCTTCCTTCGTATCTTTGCTTTTCCTCCTCAGTCAAGTTCAAGTGGTCTGCCTGCACAGTGTCCTACGTGTGTGGAGAAGGGTGTAGCATAAAATGTATTATAACTATCACCTGTTCTGAAAAGCTTTGTGTATAGCCCAACAAGTTATTGAGCTTCCAGTGCCCAGTCTCTATTCTCTGGTTTCTTAAGTGTTGATGGCCTGACAGACTTTGAGAGGTGTGTTAGTTACTATAGATTATGATGGCTGTTCACAGAACTCAATGTGGGTGGCTGGCGGGTGCTCTGGTGTGATTTGCTCCTTTATTATCAAACATCTGTCGTCGTCCCGACCTCTCCCCCGTTTTCTTTTTTGTGCTTATTACTCTCTTGTAACACCTTATCTTCGGCACTCATATTTTATTGTGTTGCAAGTGCCGTAAAATTCTTACTAAAACTAAACAGAATTCGCACCACGTATCACACACATGTGTGGGTGAACCGTAATGGATGGAAACGAAGGCAGAAAGGGAATAATTAAATTCATGAGGCGCAATAATATATTATAATCGTGTCAAAGACATACAGAGTTCCTTCCTTTCATCGACATCAGTTTTACAACATGAAAAAGGGCCTATTATATACATCGTGTATACAGCACGCATAACTTTCATTATGCATACAGTTATAAAGTGTAACGTAGCAGTTTATAGAAAACAAAAGTTGAGACCTTTTCTTGGCTAATCTGGCTACTGTCACATGGTGTCCAAGATACTGTTCATAGACATACGTAGTTTATCTTTTCAAGATGTTGATTAACATAATAAGACGTTTTTTAAACAAAAGTTTAAATAGAGAGGTTGAACAGTGATCCCAGAACAAACTAAAATGAATAATCTATGTTTCCGAATTTTTTAGGCTGTCTGCCAGGAGGTGACAAGCCATTCGATGAGACTATCTGGTCAGAATTAGTAACTGAAGTACTAGGTTTTAAATAATCCCACGGAGTTTGGTCTCAATACGATTGTCATTCCAGTTTTATACGTGAGTTTAATGTTTGTGATACGTTTTAAATGTGACACTTATATGAGTCAGAGATTCGACTCTTTAACTCCAACGCCAAGTCTGTGCTCCCCTATGGCTGCGAAACTTGGAAGACTGAATAAAGTCCAGACTTTCATCAACATATGTATAAGGGGTATTCTAAGAATTAGGTGGCAGGAGAGAATAACAAAAAGAAGAGCTGTCGGAAAGGACAGGACAAAAGGATATAGAAGTAGAAATAGGACTAATAAAGTGGCGATGGATGGGACACACCTTAAGAAAGCCCAGCAGAAACATCACAAGACAGTCACTGCAGTGGAACCCACAAGGAGCACGAGGCAGGGGTAGGCCACGGGAAACATGGAGGAGGTGCGAGGAAAGGGACATGAGAGAGATGAGGCTCACTTGGAACGAATTTGAAAGGATGGCCCATGACAGAGAGAAATGGAAGGAGCTTGTATGTGGCCTATACCCTGCCAGGGGTGAAAGGCATTGATGATGATGATATGTGTAATCTTTGAGTCCAGTATGAGTTATGTTTGTGAAATGTGTAATGCATTTGTGCGATGTTTATTTTATTTTCAAATATGTGTAACATAATTTGTGTGATGTTTGTATTTCAGTAAACTAAACTATCAGCATGTCCAAGTCGGAACACATTCTGAGTCATTATAACCCAGCAGTAATGGAAATGCACCGTGCTCTCAAACTGGCGCAGGACACGGGAGCTTCCCCAGATGTGATTAAATCAATCGAGACGGCGTTGGAGCTGGTGGATCTACGGGAGAAGTACACTGATTCGGTCACCAGTGGGGAGACGGAAGTTTTCCATAAGATCCTCACGGAGACCTACAAGCATGACTGGCAAAGTTTACACTCAGATGGGAAAACCAAGTGGAATCTGAGACCCAAGATGATGACCGGGAATTTGGAAGGTTGGAATTTTTTGGTTAAAAAAGCTGGTCTTCATACCACTTATAGTCTCTTGTTTCCATATTTTAGAGGAAAGTGTCAATTCCTTTTAGTCTTCTGTATTTTCAGTCGGTTGGGACATGATTTTGTTTAACATATTTGCGTAAAGAATGCAACAATTTCTGTAATATTTTGAGCTTTATCCAGATGCATTCATCTAAGTTTCACTTAAATTTAATTTTTATTATATCGTTGTTTGGTGCAAGGCTTGATCAAATAAAAGTGGTTATAGTAGCAATCAAAGAGAGTGCTTTTTTACTTATAGGCCCTAGTGTTTTTGTGTAAAGCTTTTTATTCGTGCATAATATGTTATACATATAATATCTCTATACTTTTTGTGAATTGTTCCCAGGTCAGTTTTTAAAGTCTATGGTGAGCATTCAAAATGCAAAGCGTGTTCTGGACATCGGCATGTTCACTGGGTATAGTGCACTGTCTATGGCTGAGGCCCTACCTGGTATGTATGTTTCCAGCTCCAAATGTTAATGATTGGTATTTTGGGACGTCATTCTCATTTTAATGGGCCTTGTTGCTTTTTAAAAGTTTTAAACATGTGGAGATCTTTCTGGTTAGTTCCTACACTACTAGTCATAGACATGGATTTTTAAATAGACTATTTGTGAGTAAGTTACTCAACCATTAGACAAAATAGGCCTGGCATCTACAAATAACAGCTCGCACTGATTTTCTGTTATCTAATTGCGAGACTTTTCTTTTTTCATATTACATGTAAACAACCGTTTCAACGGATATGAGGACTTTGACTGGTTACTCTTGTGTGCTACTCTGTTTGAACTTTCTCAGTCTCTACTATGTGTGGTCTTGAAGGGGTTAAAATACAAATCTGTGATATTAACAAGTTTTTCTGTATTTCTATCTGTAGCTGATGGAGAACTTGTGACTGTTGATTTAGAAGAGTATCTGGAGACCTTTACTGGATCTCTGCTTCGGGAGTCGCCTCATTCCAAGAAAATACAAATCTCTATCGGTGAGTTTCCATTGTCTTCTTTTTTATATATATATTTCAAGGCACTTAGGTTGCAAGTTGTACGTTTGTTAAAGAATTGCAGTGGAGTATTTAAATCCAAGCAACTATCTCTCACTTTAAGAAAGAAAATGCTGGAATGCTGCATCTTCCCCATATTCTCTTATGCCATGCTCGCAGCAAATTTCAATTTTTGGAAGTTTTTTTTCTTGTCTACCTCTTTCAGTTTCAGTTACTGCACAGCAGGCAGTACGCATTGTGCTTTCTCTTCGACACCATTACCTTGCTCAATCCGCCAAAAAGTCACTCAGAACACAGGACAGATTAAGAATAGAGACGATAGGAAGCAAGCCCATAATTATTATGCAGGTGACATCAAGATACACAACACGTGCCGTCACGCTATCATGTCCAGGACCTATGTGAACTGGCTTGGCAGAGACAATAATAAGCCATAATCAACGGAAGGTCACGTGACCTTCGTACACTCACCATCCTTGCTTCTCTTGGCCTATTGAATGTGTGTCATAAACGTAGGCGAACGGTAAACTGGCGAAGCCTCTCACTGGCCTGCAATCAACGCATGGGCGTTCTCCAGTCTCTTTCTTCTGTTTCGCAACATTGAAACGCATGAAGTTGGAAATCCATAGGCACAAAAACTGAACGGCAGCGGAACGGCACTGGGACAGTACAGATCACTGAAACAGAAATGTCATTGACAGAATCCATAAAAACGGAACGGCAGCCGTATGGCACCGGCAGTTCTGCGGTACCATAGCGCGGCACTTTTTAATCGGACACAGGAGCGATTCTGTCGCTGCCGTAGAGGTGTCGCAGAGTGAAAATGTCACGTTGCCTTGTGGACGCAATTGTTTCACGAACCTATAGATCTAGTATAGTGCGTCAAAAATTCCTGGCGCAACTTATTGTCAAACATTTCCTAAGCTATCGAACAGATTTTCCAGATTTTGCACACTGCCTTGTGTCGATTTGTCTTAACAGATCAATATTTTTGTAACACCTATTAGCTGTATTCTAGAAAATTCTTTAATAAATGCTTATAAAAAAATCCAAGTGGGTGGTTTTTACAGAATTTACAAGGTTTACAACAGGGGCAATACCTCTTTTAAAAGTAAGTCCGTCAAGATTTTCTAACCCGACACTACCTTTAACTGAACGCATGTTTTTAGAATCTTTAGCAAAGAGTCTACATAACAAGAGGGGCCACTCCTCTCTTTGAGCCAATTTAAAAAGTGCTCTAAAATTCGGTGGCGCCCTCTTCGCAAATGCGCATTTGCGAACAGAGTTACCCTACTTGAGTTTAAAAAATCAAAGTGAAACTTACAAGTTTTTGGATAAATTTCGGAAAAACGTTTTCATTAAATGGTTACGCTGACAAAAAAAACCTTTTCCGGAGGAAGGGGTGATTGTTTTCTTTGTTTAATTTGACTTTAGAATGCAAGGCGAGAGGTCATTAAAAATTTTAAAAACCTAAAACTCCGCACTGAACGAACCCGAACTGCTGATGAACAGCAGCTGCGCATGCAAGGAGGTGCTATTCCCATTCTTCTTCTGGAAAAACGAAAGAGAGCTTCAAAACAGACTGTAGCGCCATCTGAAGCAAAGAGCGGACTTCCGGCGGACACTTTTTTGGCTGGGTGGACCATCTTGTTAAGTACTATCTTTGTCTTTAGTGCAAAAAATGTGTTCACTATAAAATTGATTTTTTGTAACAAGTTTTGCCACTGAAAAGTGCCATTGCTGAGCTGTGACGTAGGCTATGAGCGTATGTAAAATATGTGTGAGAAGTGGGGAATGCTGTGAACAGTCCCACATTCCTCGTGAAAGAGATTTATAGTATTTTATATAAATCTTGAAAAGCGTTTTTTTTAATCTAGCCTCAATTGTTGTGGAAAAATATGATTTTAAAAGTTAAGACAACTTGATACAGTTGTACGAAGTATGGATGCCATAGATTCTCCGGTTAAAGAGATATTTGAGGATTAGTTGTGCCACGAATTTTTGACCGCACTATAGACAGTTTTGACTGGGCACTGGGCATCGAAATGCTAATGCATCGAAACAAAACAAAAAGGAGCTAACAATAACATGCCGTGCGTACCGAATCAAAGGACTCAAACACTGAAGTTGGCACTTGCGATACCGCACATTTCGTCCCGGCACCGTTCTGCTGCCGTTCAGTTTCCGCGCCTATGGATTTCTAGCTGTAGACTTCATGATTTGCGTTACTTGAGGATCAGTAGTGAAGACTTGGATGACATAACCCACGAAATATTCTTTTCACTTTAGAAATATGAGCATTTGGGCTTACCGATAGTTTTCATATAAATACTATCTTTGCGAGTCTCCTGCTTCGTATCGCCTCTCGCCAGTCTGCACACAACATGTGCTTCTTCACTTTTTCGAGGATGCTCATTGAGTCAGTGACGAGGATAGCCGTGTGGAGCTCTGTTGCCTCAATCCAGTTTAGGGTCTCTGATGGCTTACATCTCCATGCAAATGCTGGGCGTGGTTAAACTAGAATCTAGTAATACTATCAGCGTCTCTACCTCGGCATTGGCTGCTCCCTCTGGCTACTCACGATATTCTCTGCCTAAGGTTGCTACCATTCGAGTATACTGCCCAATGTGTCAGTGACGCTGACCCACTCCCTGTCCCTTCGGATGTCTTGCTCCTCACATCATTTAGCCATAGTCATGGATGCCCCATTTCTCCATTCAGTCCCTCTACTGCTGTCAAGATGTTCTTTGTCTTCGTTTCCACAGGCCAAAATGTTGTTTTGGTCTCCACTGGTCAAGATGTTCTTTGTATCCCACACTACTGGTCAAGATGTTCTCTCTTTGTCCCTCTCTCCCACCAGGCTCACCCTCAGACTACATGAGAGAAGCGGTGAAGGCGGGAAAAACTTTCGACCTGATCTTTTTGGACGCGGACAAATCTTATTACCTGGAATTCTTCAAGGTGAGCAGGCTGGTTGGTCAGAAGGCATGAGTCGGAAGTACCTTTTATTCCCACTGTTGTTTCAGTCTGTTTTGTTTTGTTTTTTCCTTTGTGTTTATAAATGCATGTCGTCAAGTTGATATGCTTTTCTTTTATGAAAAAAGAAGAAAAAAAAGAGATCTCAGCAAAGCTGTATTAACAGCCACGATATAGAAGTAAATGAGTCTTTTGCCTCTCCCTAAAAGGTTGTCCATTAAAAAATATATAGGTCTATATGTATGAATTATAGATTCTATAATTTATGATAATTATGTACATGTCTTCCTATTATGTACTGTATAATATAATTTGGCAAGATTTATGCTAGGTACTCGGAACAGATCAGGTTAAATGTTAACTCAGTTTGTGTTGCACTGGGTTATGATGTGAATGACCCTGGTTGGAATCCCCGATGAGTTTGGATTATTTTGGGAATTTTCATAGATTTCCACCTGTTCAGCTTCTATCGGCCATGGACATTAAATTTTGGGTTCCTGCCTCTTATATAACATAGAGTTCAGTTTTGAAAGAGGCATTAAACCCATAATATTTTGTTCTGTAATATTAAAACAACGCAAGTTTTCTGAATGGCTAGTGGCAAAAGTTGTGCCCCTTGTGAAAGAAAAGGAGGGTGGAGACAAGTCAAAGAGGCGATGGAGTGGGAGCAAGGGGTGGGGAGGGGGCGGGGGGCAGGGGGGTTGAATTAGAAATCAGATGATCAAGGAGGTGGTCGGGGAGGGGGGGGGGTAATTGATGAAAACGCATAAGTCAGCATAATGTTTCCTTCTGCCTCCCACCAGATCATATTTGAAGAGGGCCTACTGGCTCCCCGTGGGACGGTACTGGTCGACAACGCCTTTGCACACGGTTCGGGTTACAAGCCATCTGCTGAAGAGAACTCCACTCAACGGGTTGCATCTGCTGTGGAGGCTGATCAGTCTCTTCACAAGGTTAGTTGTGGTGGTGCAAGGACCTTACAACCTACTGTATACCCTCCTGGTGGTTGTGGTAGATTTAGGACTAGGCAGGAACCGGTACCCAGTAGGCCTACAAGAAGTCCCAGTACTGCCGTAGGCGGTGTCAGCAGTCAGCACTGGGGCACAAAGCCTCCAGTACCGGTACTGGGAAGGTACCGATACCAGTGGTACCGGCTCTGGGAAGGTGCTCATCATCATCATCATCATCACCATCATCATCACCATCATCATCATCATCATCATCATCATCATCATCATCATCATCATCATCATCATTACCTTTCTCACCCTGCATCAGGGTATAGGCCACGGACAAACACTTTCCACCTTTCTCTCTATCCTGGGTTAGCCTCTTGATGTTATTCCATGTCTTCCCGCTTTTCTGTACATCAATTTCTGTGATTCAAGACAGTATGCAGTTGGTTTCATTGACTCCTAGTGTGTGCAGCCAGTATCGCTTCATCTCTTGTGCTACTTTATAACTCTTTCCTGCTTCATACATACTGCGAACATTCCACGACGGAATCCGGAGAGAAAGGTGCTCATACCAAGTGTATAAGACAGCGGGCGACGTCCCCTGGAGTGGGAACTTAAGCCCAAGTTAGCCTACTGTGTAGTGTAGAAGTTGATACGTCAGATGCGCTACAAAAAGCACAAAGTGACATTTCTTTTTCGTAAGAGTTTTATGGCACTTGCAACACAATATGACAATGAGGTTACATAAGTGCCGAAGATTAGAGGTGTAGAAGAGAGTAACAAACACACAATAGAAGGAGGAGAGATAAGGACGATAGAATCTATATGTTTGATAGGAAAGAAGGAGCAAACCACACCAGAGCGCCCGCTAACCATCCACAATCTCATGTCATCAAGTTCAAAATTAAAAATGCATTACAAATATATTTTTGTTTGTGTAAGTTTAGCTATCGCATCAAATCAGGCTCCCCGCGAACAACTTTGTAATGTGTGACACCTAGACTTTTATATATATATAATTTATATATATATATATATATATATATATATATATATATATATAAAACGCTGATGTCTTGTGTATTACTTACACCTGCGTCGTGTGTGTGGATAAATTATTGATATCCAACATAAAATGATAAGTTACGATATACCCTCTTTGAAGTCCTATTCCTACCTCCCTATGGTGAGGAGGGATAACTACAACATTGTACTTCAAATTAAGAACATAATCATACACACGCACTCAATGCTCAGAGATAATATGAATGATCAATTATCAGTTTCAGTATCTACTTCTGTCATTTTAAAAACTATTCCATTACAAAAGGATCGCGAGTGAACATTAAGGATCAAACTTTCTGCACGTAGGGCTGTGACGTCATTGGGGGCGAATTACATTGCGCCCCCTTTGTTGAGTTCAATTAAGGTTTCAATTTACTAGATACCAAAAAGGGGGCGAGTTAAGAATCAAACTTTCCGCACGTAGAGCTGTGACGGGAGGGTCGAATTGCATTGCGTCCTCAAAACTAGGCCTATATCATTCTGATGGAGTGTGGCCTAGTCTAGCCTCTTCTCAAGTCACTCTCCTCAGCCTCTGTCTCGTGTTCCTGTTTACTCTCTTCACTCGCATCTTTTCTCTTGTTGGCAGGTTATGGTGCCTCTCCGAGACGGTGTGTTGATACTGCGTAGAAAGACGGATGTCGTTGGCGAGGTGCCACAATGATGATACAGAAACAAAAGTTAACGCTGATCTATGGGGCTCTCAAACAGATGTACTGGAATTGGAATGTTTGACTGCGGTTTTTGCAAGTCACATCGATGGTGTCATTCCTGAATCGAGCAATTGGAAGGAATAAGTCAACTTTTTTTTTGTTCGTCTGTAACGTATTCTGCGGTCAGTCTGCAGGCTCGCAGACATCAGGAGTCAGCTTGCACTAAAAGTTGATTTTTAAAAAATATTGTGGGTTAATTTTTGTGTCGTCTCTTGTTATTTAAACCAAAAGATTTCATTTGGGAGTTGAACATTTTTCAAGAAATGAGGGACACAGTTAGAGTATACTGTAGGCCCTGTTGTAGATGGTGATCACGTTTACATAAACTATGGGATTGTTTTTGTTACATAGATTATCCACTGCCTGCTTATCAGTAAATTTGTCATTTCGTTTCAAGGGATATTTCCAGCTTGACTTCTTTAGTTTCCTTTTTCTAGTATCTTAGTCACATGGAAGTTGACTATACACCATTTAAGATATACACGCTCTACGCAGCCTAATAAAAAATAACAATTACCTTTTATTTAACACATATCATTCTCTGGGCACTACTAGTCGTATCTAAATGCACTACAGTTTCTACAGCTGGGAAAAGGATATGCGGTAGATCAAGCGTCTAGTGCCTACTTTTCATTCGGTCATTTTTTCCGCGTTATAATGGCCACTCCATGGAAAGACAATGTGACGATGTGAGGCCGCACCAAGGTCAGGCTAAGTCACTGATTGAACATTTCGAATCACCATCAAAGTACATCCAGCTTTCCTCTTCCCTCCAGAACGCACACGGTACAACACATCATTATAATAATAATATGTGTAATAGTGAGTGCAATATCTACGCAATCCACTTGGGCCTCTTGTGGGTCAAGTAGGAACAATTTGCTGGGTCAGATGTTGTTTTGCTTCATTTGATTTTTTTTCTCGTTTGCTTTCTTGTCCATTGTTATGGGATTTTGTCAAGTGATGGATCACTGTTATTAACGAGCATGTGTATCCAAATGCCTGCAGTAAAAGAACGTTTGCTCTTTTGTTTGATACACTGTTTTACTGACAGCTTGATCCCACAATAAATTAATATTTTGTCTGCACATGCTGATTTGATTTCATTTTTTAAAACTCCATTTTAAGCCTTCTTCTGGTGGGTTGAAATTTGGGGTTTAACTTCTACTAGATCTATACACACCAGTCTGCAAGGTGGCCAACACATTTCAATCTAATTGAGCACTTACTTGAGGGACATTTTAGATCGTGCCATTCGTGCCACGCCACGTTTGCCCCGGACCCTTGCTCAGTTAGAACACGCCTTTAATTCCATTCCATCCTTGGGGGAGGA